AACGATATATTGGTAGATTGTCCTCCACACATAACGATATATTGGTATAGTCCTCCACACATAACGATATATTGGTAGATAGTCCTCCACACATAACGATATATTGGTAGATAGTCCTCCACACATAACGATATATTGGTAGATTGTCCTCCACACATAACGATATATTGGTAGATAGTCCTCCCTACATAACGATATATTGGTAGATTGTCCTCCACACATAACGATATATTGGTATAGTCCTCCACACATAACGATATATTGGTAGATAGTCCTCCACACATAACGATATATTGGTAGATAGTCCTCCACACATAACGATATATTGGTAGATTGTCCTCCACACATAACGATATATTGGTAGATAGTCCTCCACACATAACGATATATTGGTAGATTGTCCTCCACACATAACGATATATTGGTAGATTGTCCTCCACACATAACGATATATTGGTAGATAGTCCTCCACACATAACGATATATTGGTATAGTCCTCCACACATAACGATATATTGGTAGATTGTCCTCCACACATAACGATATATTGGTATAGTCCTCCACACATAACGATATATTGGTAGATAGTCCTCCACACATAACGATATATTGGTAGATAGTCCTCCACACATAACGATATATTGGTAGATTGTCCTCCACACATAACGATATATTGGTATAGTCCTCCACACATAACGATATATTGGTAGATAGTCCTCCACACATAACGATATATTGGTAGATAGTCCTCCACACATAACGATATATTGGTAGATTGTCCTCCACACATAACGATATATTGGTAGATTGTCCTCCACACATAACGATATATTGGTATAGTCCTCCACACATAACGATATATTGGTAGATAGTCCTTCACACATAACGATATATTGGTAGATAGTCCTCCACACATAACGATATATTGGTATAGTCCTCCACACATAACGATATATTGGTATAGTCCTCCACACATAACGATATATTGGTATAGTCCTCCACACATAACGATATATTGGTAGATAGTCCTCCACACATAACGATATATTGGTAGATAGTCCTCCACACATAACGATATATTGGTAGATAGTCCTCCACACATAACGATATATTGGTAGATAGTCCTCCACACATAACGATATATTGGTAGATAGTCCTTCACACATAACGATATATTGGTAGATAGTCCTCCACACATAACGATATATTGGTAGATAGTCCTACACACATAACGATATATTGGTAGATTGTCCTCCACACATAACGATATATTGGTAGATTGTCCTCCACACATAACGATATATTGGTATAGTCCTCCACACATAACGATATATTGGTAGATTGTCCTTCACACATAACGATATATTGGTAGATAGTCCTCCACACATAACGATATATTGGTATAGTCCTCCACACATAACGATATATTGGTATAGTCCTCCACACATAACGATATATTGGTATAGTCCTCCACACATAACGATATATTGGTAGATAGTCCTCCACACATAACGATATATTGGTAGATAGTCCTCCACACATAACGATATATTGGTAGATAGTCCTCCACACATAACGATATATTGGTAGATAGTCCTCCACACATAACGATATATTGGTAGATAGTCCTCCACACATAACGATATATTGGTAGATAGTCCTTCACACATAACGATATATTGGTAGATAGTCCTCCACACATAACGATATATTGGTAGATAGTCCTACACACATAACGATATATTGGTAGATTGTCCTTCACACATAACGATATATTGGTAGATAGTCCTACACACATAACGATATATTGGTAGATAGTCCTCCACACATAACGATATATTGGTAGATTGTCCTCCACACATAACGATATATTGGTAGATAGTCCTCCACACATAACGATATATTGGTAGATAGTCCTCCACACATAACGATATATTGGTAGATAGTCCTCCACACATAACGATATATTGGTAGATAGTTCTCCACACATAACGATATATTGGTAGATAGTCCTCCACACATAACGATATATTGGTAGATAGTCCTACACACATAACGATATATTGGTAGATTGTCCTTCATACATAACGATATATTGGTATAGTCCTCCATACTTCAGGTGATCCTCTCACTTAGTGTCATTTATCGTGTTCGTACATTTTATGTATTCTGTTGATCAATCAATACAAGTTTCATCTCATCTCTTTTTTTTCATATAGCTCTTGGAAGGTATTTATATGAAAGAATATTAATTATCAAAATATCTCGAAACAGACCGATGATTTTTCTCACTTTTTATACTTTCTAAATGTTTACTCGTTTTGTCAAGCTCATGACCTATCGATGACGACCGTTAAAATACTGAAGCTGTCCCAGATTTATTTTCACAATATTGACCACGTGGTAATTACATGCAATATAGTAGTTGGTGTATTCCTGTTGATAGTAGGGATCTATACATTCATCAGAACAACTTACGTTGTCCTACTCGTGTTTGTGGACTTTAATCATACCCAGGATATATTCATATTAAGCTGTTAGATAAATGGATATTACACTGATCAAACGGTTCAAATATTTTGAAAGGCAGATTAAGGGTAATTTGTGCAATTCCTTAAAGAAATGAATGTTTAATGTTTCAGTGACAGCTATGATCTCTACTGAAAGAATAGTGGTTCAGGGTGACGAGGTCTCTGTTATTTTCGTGTTTCAGTGACAGCTTAGATCTCTACCGAAAGAATATCGGTTCAGAATGACAAGGTCCCCGTTATCACTACCGGTGTTGGCTACATAGCTATGTTAAGACCATAGAGATCACGCTGAGTGTCATCACCTGTTTAATCATTATAAGTGATAACACATGGATATAAGTAAATGTCATGATAGAGGGTGCTTGTAAGTAAGAAGATTGTACTAACGACACATAAGTGAACAGCACATTTTAATACCAATTAGGAAAAGATATAGAGAACATCTCAATAATGAGTCAAACATCATCTTCCGGGGGGGGGAGGGGGGGGGGTAAGATTTCCATATAATTGCTGATGAACATCAGGAACACATGTATGAATTTTAACGTCACGGTCAGCTACAGGGACTTAAAGTCAACTGTCAACTTACAGTGTTTACCAACTGCAATCTCGAAAATTGTACTCGACACGCGCAAGTGAAGAAATAATAAATAAAGTAAGAAATGATAAGGAAAGGCGTAGAAGGAAACCTCATGTTTCTGATGAAGGAAGAAATGCAGTATGAGGACCCATTTGTTTGTAATTATGTAAAAGGAGTTAATTGAGAAAGGAATGCAGTATTAGGAATCTCTGTTGTTTATAACTGGTAAAGAATGCTGCATACGGAATCCCGTTGTGTGTAATTATATAAAAGGGCTTAATTGGTAAAGAATGCTGCATACGGAATCCCGTTGTGTGTAATTATATAAAAGGGCTTAATTGGTAAAGAATGCTGCATACGGAATCCCGTTGTGTGTAATTATATAAAAGGGCTTAATTGGTAAAGAATGCTGCATACGGAATCCCGTTGTGTGTAATTATATAAAAGGGCTTAACTGGTAAAGAATGCTGCATACGGAATCCCGTTGTGTGTAATTATATAAAAGGGCTTAATTGGTAAAGAATGCTGTATACGGAATCCCGTTGTGTGTAATTATATAAAAGGGCTTAATTGGTAAAGAATGCTGTATACGGAATCCCGTTGTGTGTAATTATATAAAAGGGGTTAATTGGTAAAGAACGCTGTATTAGGAATCCCTGTTGTTTATAATTGGTAAAGAATGCTTTATAAGGAATTGTGTTGTTTATAATTGGTAAGAAATGCCGTATAAGGAATACCTGTTGTTTATAATTGGTAAGAAATGCTGTATAGGAATTGCGTTGTTTATAATTGGTAAGAAATGCCATATAAAGAATCCCTGTTGTTTATAATTTGTAAATAATGCTTTATAAGGAATTGTGTTGTTTATAATTGGTAAGAAATTCCATATAAGGAATCCCTGTTGTTTATAATTTGTGAAGAATGCTTTATAAGGAAGTGTGTTGCTTATAATTGGTGAGAAATGCCATATAAGGAATCCCTGTTGGTTATAATTGGTAAGAAATGCCGTATAAGGAATGCCTGTTGTTTATAATTGGTAAGAAATGCCATATAAAGAATCCCTGTTGTTTATAATTTGTAAATAATGCTTTATAAGGAATTGTGTTGTTTATAATTGGTAAGAAATGCCATATAGGGAATCCCTGTTGTTTATAATTGGTAAGAAATGCCGTATAATGAATCCCTGTTGTTTATAATTGGTATGAAATGCCGTATAATGAATCCCTGTTGTTTATAATTGGTAAGAAATGCCGTATAATGAATCCCTGTTGTTTATAATTGGTAAGAAATGCAGTATTTTGAATCCCCATTGTTTGTAATTGGCAAGGAATGCCGTATAAGGAATCCCTGTTGTTTATAATTAGGTTTGAAACGTCCTTTAAAGATTGAATGTAAGAACTGGACAGGTTATGGGTCAAGAATCAGATGTGATAATAATTATAATATAACCTGTCTCACTATTTCTTGTAATAGTCGTTGTATGTGACATACATCTTAAGTGTACTGAGAGCAAACCGCCTTGTATTCTTTCTTTCCTTTTTATCAGTCATCTGGTAAAAATAGACTAAGAAACATTAGTAAACCAAAATCCTACAATAGTGTTAATGTACATATTTGTACGTACCTCTATTTGACGGCTGTTATCGTGTGTTTGTATTGGTAATAAAAAACACTGAGATCACAGGTCGGCTGGCGCGTGTCGTGAACAAGCCGATTAGTGTACGACCACCAATTGTTTTGACTGTATCCTGAGCCATAATGGAGCTGGTTTTTCTCTGTTGATGGTTTAATAGGATATGATTGTATTGTAGATATTAAGCCGTCCGTGTCCTTACGCCAGCTCGAGGTCGTCCTATTATCAGTCTTTACATTCGCATTGCTAAACAGACATGTTTTCTAGGGACCGTATGCCGATCCATCACAAAATTAACCCTTCAGACCGGAAGCGGATAGTGCGAACTTCATCCCGACATTCCACAGCGAAGACACGTCCTTCTGTTTCCAAGGATTTAGAGGAAAGTTTCTACATCACTACTGCTGTGGTTCCCAAAGGTTCAGATGGATACTTTGACGTCACACTGGAGAGTCCGCTTGGCTCCGATAGCGAGAAAGAAGGTGAGAGAGGCACGCTGTGAGTTGTAAATGACGTGCATGTGTACGTGCTGGGTATAAACGTGATGTTAGTCTTATATTCGTTTCATATTCACAATTATTCGTTTGACATTTTAATCTGATAAATATTGATATGTCTACAGACAAACCAGATGATGCAAAACAATCAGAATGTGAGCGAGTCTACCTGGCTGCCTGTAAACAGTGCCGAGTTGCCCCGGGGAAGGGCGTACTACAGGGACTTGGTACACAGCGGCTGTCCGTGAAAGGTCTTCAGCTGACATCACGAGATATTGAACCAATCACGTACGCTCTCACTGTAAGTGACGAAAGCTCTTGTCTCGTCTTGTCTCATATTTGTTTGTCAGCCTAACGTCTCAATTGGCTCATCATCATTAAAATGGGAGCCAACACATAAATATTTGATGGCAGTACGTGGTCTGCCGTTCGTACTAAAACAACTATTTAGCATTATTTCTTGTGAAGCACAGAATGCATCTTTCGGACGTTACATGTGTAAATTATATCTAAGCTACTTAAATTTGGAGATTGATACTGAAATGGTAAAGAGGGGTTAATCTGTGATTTCAACAGTCAAGAGTTTTCGCTCTTTATTAAATTTCATTCATGGTACGTCTGTTTGTCTTGGTTCGTTCCATCGTCATTTCAATTTTGAGACTGCTCAGAAATACAAAGTGATGGACACTGGTCACATATGTGGGGTTGCTGTTATGATCTGATGATTGTTAGTGCTCTTATCGTAAAGTTCTGGTCATATTTTCTATGACTCATTCACCTGTGAAAGCCAAGAAGACAACGAAGAAGAAAAAAGGTTTCCGGGATCTCTCTAGGATATCATGTTTTCTAAACAGCGTAATGCTAAAAGCAGAAATGTGCAGTCATCAGAAGAGGACATGATGGACCAGGATTGTATTAAAACAGGCCAGTCATTGGATAAGTAATCTGTGTAATACACCATTATTGTACGTATATTACAATGAACCTTTGTTTTTCTTTGACAGAGAAACCACCACGTGACCACACTTGATGTCTCCAGTAACGATATCGGCAAGGACGGTTTAAACAACATAATACGCATGCTTGACGAGAATATGTCTTTAACGAATCTGGTGAGTGACGACATGTTTATTTCTTTAAGTTATTCTAAACATAATATCAGTTGTTTTAAAGGCGTTCTGTATATTGTCTGGCACAAGCTCCAAATAGGAAACATTCTATATATAGAAACTGTAACAAATCCTAAGATTATCTTTATTGGTTAACTAAATATAAATTTTACACTAACAGTTAAAGATGTTCTATATATAGTTCATGTAAGTGACCACCAACATGAAAGTTTAATAAATAATACTTGTCTTTGCTATAGAATATTTCTCACAACAATGTGGGGACGACAGGAGCCCGGCTATTGAGTGAGCTGATTGCGAACAGTAAAATGCTTAAAACTATATCTGCTTCCGGTAAGTGAAACAGTCGATTCCTGAAGATAAATACCTAATCGGCTCCTGTAGATTTAAATCTAACCATTCTGTCGACTCGCGGTAGAGATTTTGTAGTGTTCAAAGAAGCGACTTTCCGCTCTCTGGACAAACATTCTATCGCAATGACGAGAATCTTTTACCGCAGACATGGAAAAACGATAGTGAACGATTAATTGATTGTTGACTTATATGGTGATTGTAAATATCAAGGAGACAATATGGCCACTGACGAATATTAACGAACGAAGTAGACGTATCGCCTCCCGGATAATATAGAATTTCCTCGGACATTTCATGGATATGTTTATCCTTGTTTTCAGGAAACAAGTTCGGCGATGAGGATGCTTCTTGTATAGCCGAGTCTCTAAAGGTAAGGAAAAGGTAAAACAAAGGACGTAAAATTCTATATTAGACAAGACACCAAGGTGAGATAAATACAACAAAGGACGTAAAATTCTATATTAGACAAGACACCAAGGTGAGATAAATACAACAAAGGACGTAAAATTCTATATCAGACAGGACACCAAGGTGTGATAAATACAACAAAGGACGTAAAATTCTATATTAGACAAGACACCAAGGTGAGATAAATACAACAAAGGACGTAAAATTCTATATTAGACAAGACACCAAGGTGTGATAAATACAACAAAGGACGTAAAATTCTATATTAGACAAGACACCAAGGTGAGATAAATACAACAAAGGACGTAAAATTCTATATTAGACAAGACACCAAGGTGTGATAAATACAACAAAGGACGTAAAATTCTATATTAGACAAGACACCAAGGTGTGATAAATACAACAAAGGACGTAAAATTCTATATTAGACAAGACACCAAGGTGAGATAAATACAACAAAGGACGTAAAATTCTGTACCAGATGAAATATCATGGTGAATACAACAAAGGACGTAAAATTCTATATTAGACAAGACACCAAGGTGAGATAAATACAACAAAGGACGTAAAATTCTCTATCAGACAAGACACCAAGGTGTGATAATTACAACAAAGGACGTAAAATTCTATATTAGACAAGACACCAAAGTGAGATAAATACACCAAAGGACGTAAAATTCTATATTAGACAAGACACCAAGGTGAGATAAATACAACAAAGGACGTAAAATTCTGTACCAGATGAAATATCATGGTGAATACAACAAAGGACGTAAAATTCTATATTAGACAAGAAACCAAGGTGTGATAAATACAACAAATGACGTAAAATTCTATATTAGACAAGACACCAAGGTGAGATAAATACAACAAAGGACGTAAAATTCTACATTAGACAAGGCACCAAGGTGAGATAAATACAACAAAGGACGTAAAATTCTATATTAGACAATACACCAAGGTGAGATAAATACAACAAAGGACGTAAAATTCTATATTAGACAAGACACCAAGGTGAGATAAATACAACAAAGGACGTAAAATTCTATATTAGACAAGACACCAAGGTGGCATGAATACAACAAAGGACGTAAAATTCTATATTAGACAAGACACCAAGGTGAGATAAATACAACAAAGGACGTAAAATTCTATATTAGACAAGATACCAAGGTGGCATGAAAACAACAAAGGACGTAAAATTCTATATCAGACAAGACACCAAGGTGTGATAAATACAACAAAGGACGTAAAATTCTATATTAGACAAGACACCAAAGTGGCATGAATACAACAAAGGACGTAAAATTCTATATCAGACAAGACACCAAGGTGTGATAAATACAACAAAGGACGTAAAATTCTATATCAGACAAGACACCAAGGTGTGATAAATACAACAAAGGACGTAAAATTCTATATTAGACAAGACACCAAAGTGGCATGAATACAACAAAGGACGTAGAATACGATACCAATCATCTATTTATAGATTTAGCATACATTTCCAAATTAACCCGGAAACTTAATAATTTTCGTAGTTTCGAAGGATATTCATATCACAGGTACTGACTTGTTACCGTTATGATTATCAGCTAGATTTTGTATGACAATTAATGGGTTTGGTTTTTTCTGCATTGCTTTACACAGGTATCTCGTGTTCTTCAGTCCTTAAATCTAAGTCATAATAACTTCCATGAGCGAGGAGGGGAAACACTGGCAGAGGGAATTGGTAAGTTGTATGTCGTAATATCTGTCACTAGAGAGGGGAAACACTGGTACATGAAATTGATAGGATAAATAAAGCAATAGCTGGCACTAGAGAGGAAGAGACACTGGCAGAAGGAATTCGTAGGTTGTTTGAAACAATAGCGTTCTTTAGAGACGAAGACAGACTCGTACAAGAAGTTGGTAGGTTGCATGTAGCAAACGTTTTTACGAAAGAGGAAGAGACACTGGTACAAGGAATTGGTAGGTTGTCTGTAGCAATAGCTTTCACTAGAGAGGAAGAGAGACTGGCACAAGGATTTTGTAGGTTGTCTGTAGCAATAGCTTTCACTAAAGAAGAAGAGACACTGGCACAAGGAATTGGTAGGTTGTCTGGAGCAATAGCTTTCACTAGAGAGGAAGAGAGACTGGCACAAGGATTTTGTAGGTTGTCTGTAGCAATAGCTTTCACTAAAGAAGAAGAGACACTGGCACAAGGAATTGGTAGGTTGTCTGGAGCAATAGCTTTCACTAGAGAGGAAGAGAGACTGGCACAAGGATTTTGTAGGTTGTCTGTAGCAATAGCTTTCACTAAAGAAGAAGAGACACTGGCACAAGGAATTGGTAGGTTGTCTGGAGCAATAGCTTTCACTAGAGAGGAAGAGAGACTGGCACAAGGATTTTGTAGGTTGTCTGTAGCAATAGCTTTCACTAAAGAAGAAGAGACACTGGCACAAGGAATTGGTAGGTTGTCTGGAGCAATAGCTTTCACTAGAGAGGAAGAGAGACTGGCACAAGGATTTTGTAGGTTGTCTGTAGCAATAGCTTTCACTAAAGAAGAAGAGACACTGGCACAAGGAATTGGTAGGTTGTCTGTAGCAATAGCTTTCACTAGAGAAAAAAGATAGATTGGTACAAGGATTTTGTATGTTGTCTGTAGCAATACCTTTGAATAGAGAGGAAGAGAGACTGGTACAAGGAATTGGTAGGTAGCGCATATCACACAAGTGTTGATTTATAGATAGTTAAAGCCGTATAAGTCTAACATACTACATAGCTGGGAGGGGGGAGATTTACAGGATATACGCTAATATAGTGTAAATTAAAGGCAATAAGGGTGAATAAGTAATTAATAGATATCATGCTATACTAACTATTAGAAGTAAAGAGACTTGGCTGCTACTTATTACTACGAAAAGGTCATGTTAAACAAAGGTAAAAAAAATTAAATTTATGAATTATGATAATAAAACAAATGAAACGGGTAAAAAAACAGTAGGTTAACAGTAAAAAAAGACTAAAGCACTGAAAGACACCAGATTCGCAGACACTGGCACGTGTTATTGGTATGTTATTTGTTTGGTTTATACCGAGTTTTGACGACTTTAAGTGAAAGAACGCCAAAATGTGTATCGTTTATATAACATAGGATTAAATAAAGCAGCAATGTTGATATCACTCACATAGATATTGTGTTTATAAAATCCCGGGACAGAGAAAACTGGAAGTAAAATTACAAAAGTTACTCGATCGCATGGAGGAATGCCTATTAATTATTTTTTATATGTTTCAGAAGAGAACACGTCATTGACAGACCTTGACCTCAGTTGGAATCACCTTCGTCTCGGAGGAGCTATTGCCATTGCGGAAGCCCTTAAGGTTATTATGATGGAAAACACCTTCGAAAGTATTAACCGCAGAGTATTTATGTGAACCAGTTTATGTGAAGATGTGTAGTGTAAGTGTGAACCAGTTTATGTGAAGATGTGTAGTGTATGTGTGAACCGGTTTATGTGAAGATGTGTAGTGTATGTGTGAACCAGTTTATGTGAAGATGTGTAGTGTATGTGTGAACCAGTTTATGTGAAGATGTGTAGTGTATGTGTGAACCAGTTTATGTGAAGATGTGTAGGGTATGTGTGAACCAGTTTATGTGAAGATGTGTAGTGTATGTGTGAACCAGTTTATGTAAAGATGTGTAGTGTAAGTGAGAACCAGTTTATGTGAAGATGTGTAGTGTAAGTGAGAACCAGTTTATGTAAAGATGTGTAGTGTAAGTGAGAACCAGTTTATGTGAAGATGTGTAGTGTAAGTGTGAACCAGTTTATGTGAAGATGTGTAGTGTATTTCTAATCTAGTTTAGGTGACAGTCTTTTGTGCGTATGTGTAACCTAGGTTCAATCTAGGTTCCTCGAAGTGGTGTATGTATGTGTAACCTAGGTTCAATCTAGGTTCCACGAAGTGGTGAATGTATGTGTAACTTAGGTTCAATCTAGGTTCTGTGAAGTGGTGTATGTATGCCTGACCTTGGTTATGTGAAGTGGTGCAGGATATGTGTGACTTTGGTTCTGTGAAGGGATGTAGCATATGTGTAACCTAGGTTATGTGAAGATGTGTAGGGTATGTGTGACTTTGGTTCTGTGAAGGGATGTAGCATATGTGTAACCTAGGTTATGTGAAGATGTGTAGGGTATGTGTGACCTTGGTTATGTGAGGTGTGTTGGATATGTGGGACCTTGGTTCTGTGAAGGTGTGTAGGGTATATGTGTACTTGGTTCGGTAAAGGTGTGTAGGGAATGTGCGAACTATTCTGTAAAGGGATGGGTGTAGTGTGTCAGTAAGTGATATCCTGTAAAGGGATGTGTGTAGTGTGTCGGTAAGTGATATTCTGTAAAGGGATGGGTGTCAGTAAGTGATATTATGTAAAGGGATGGGTGTCAGTAAGTGATATTATGTAAAGGGATGTGTGTAGTGTGTCAGTAAGTGATATTCTGTAAAGGGATGTGTGTAGTGTGTCAGTAAGTGATATTCTGTAAAGGGATGGTGTAGTGTGTCAGTAAGTGATATTCTGTAAAGGGATGGGTGTCAGTAAGTGATATTCTGTAAAGGGATGGGTGTCAGTAAGTGATATTCTGTAAAGGGATGTGTGTAGTGTGTCAGTAAGTGATATTCTGTAAAGGGATGTGTGTAGTGTGTCAGTAAGTGATATTCTGTAAAGGGATGTGTGTAGTGTGTCAGTAAGTGATATTCTGTAAAGGGATGGGTGTCAGTAAGTGATATTCTGTAAAGGGATGGGTGTAGGGTGTCAGTAAGTGATATTCTGTAAAGGGATGGTGTAATGTGTCAGTAAGTGATATTCTGTAAAGGGATGGGTGTAGGGTGTCAGTAAGTGATATTCTGTAAAGGGATGGTGTAGTGTGTCAGTAAGTGATATTCTGTAAAGGGATGTGTGTAGTGTGTCAGTAAGTGATATTCTGTAAAGGGATGTGTGTAGTGTGTCAGTAAGTGATATTCTGTAAAATGGTGTGGGTGATATTCTGTAAAGGGATGGTGTAGTGTGTCAGTAAGTGATATTCTGTAAAGGGATGTGTGTAGTGTGTCAGTAAGTGATATTCTGTAAAGGGATGTGTGTAGTGTGTCAGTAAGTGATATTCTGTAAAGGGATGTGTGTAGTGTGTCAGTAAGTGATATTCTGTAAAGGGATGTGTGTAGTGTGTCAGTGTGTCAGTAAGTAAGTGATATGTCTGTAAAGGGATGTGTGTAGTGTGTCAGTAAGTGATATTCTGTAAAGGGATGTGTGTAAGTTTGTGATATTCTGTAATGGGTTGGGTGTCATTAAGTGATATTCTGTAAAGGGATGTGTGTAGTGTGTCAGTAAGTGATATTCTGTAAAGGGATGTGTGTAGTGTGTCAGTAAGTGATATTCTGTAAAGGTGATGTGTGTAAAGGGTGTGTCAGTAAGTGATATTCTGTAAAATGTGTGAGGGTGTGTCAGTAAGTGATATTCTGTAAAGGGATGGGTGTAGGGTGTCAGTTAGTGATATTCTGTAAAGGGATGGTGTAATGTGTCAGTAAGTGATATTCTGTAAAGGGATGTGTGTCAGTAAGTGATATTATGTAAAGGGATGTGTGTAGGGTGTCAGTAAGTGATATTCTGTAAAGGGATGTGTGTAGTGTGTCAGTAAGTGATATTCTGTAAAGGGATGTGTGTAGTGTGTCAGTAAGTGATATTCTGTAAAGGGATGTGTGTAGTGTGTCAGTAAGTGATATTCTGTAAAGGGATGGGTGTAGGGTGTCAGTAAGTGATATTCTGTAAAGGGATGTGTGTAGTGTGTCAGTAAGTGATATTCTGTAAAGGGATGTGTGTAGTGTGTAGTGTGTCAGTAAGTGATATTCTGTAAAGGGATGTGTGTAGTGTGTCAGTAAGTGATATTCTGTAAAGGGATGTGTGTAGTGTGTCAGTAAGTGATATTCTGTAAAGGGATGGATGTAGTGTGTCAGTAAGTGATATTCTGTAAAGGGATGTGTGTAGTGTGTCAGTAAGTGATATTCTGTAAAGGGATGGGTGTAGTGTGTCAGTAAGTGATATTCTGTAAAGGGATGTGTGTAGTGTGTCAGTAAGTGATATTCTGTAAAGGGATGTGTGTAGTGTGTCAGTAAGTGATATTCTGTAAAGGGATGTGTGTAGTGTGTCTGTAAGTGATATTCTGTAAAGGGATGTGTGTAGTGTGTCTGTAAGTGATATTCTGTAAAGGGATGTGTGTAGTGTGTCAGTAAGTGATATTCTGTAAAGGGATGTGTGTAGTGTGTCAGTAAGTGATATTCTGTAAAGGGATGTGTGTAGTGTGTCAGTAAGTGATATTCTGTAAAGGGATGTGTGTAGTGTGTCAGTAAGTGATATTCTGTAAAGGGATGTGTGTAGTGTGTCAGTAAGTGATATTCTGTAAAGGGATGTGTGTAGTGTGTCAGTAAGTGATATTCTGTAAAGGGATGTGTGTAGTGTGTCAGTAAGTGATATTCTGTAAAGGGATGTGTGTAGTGTGTCAGTAAGTGATATTCTGTAAAGGGATGTGTGTAGTGTGTCAGTAAGTGATATTCTGTAAAGGGATGTGTGTAGTGTGTCAGTAAGTGATATTCTGTAAAGGGATGTGTGTAGTGTGTCAGTAAGTGATATTCTGTAAAGGGATGTGTGTAGTGTGTCAGTAAGTGATATTCTGTAAAGGGATGGATGTAGTGTGTCGGTAAGTGATATTCTGTAAAGGGATGTGTGTAGTGTGTCGGTAAGTGATATTCTGTAAAGGGATGTGTGTAGGGTGTCAGTAAGTGATATTCTGTAAAGGGATGTGTGTAGTGTGTCAGTAAGTGATATTCTGTAAAGGGATGTGTGTAGTGTGTCAGTAAGTGATATTCTGTAAAGGGATTGGTGTCAGTAAGTGATATTCTGTAAAGGGATGTGTGTAGTGTGTCAGTAAGTGATATTCTGTAAAGGGATGTGTGTAGTGTGTCAGTAAGTGATATTCTGTAAAGGGATGGGTGTCAGTAAGTGTTATTCTGTACAGGGATGTGTGTAGTGTGTCAGTAAGTGATATTCTGTAAAGGGATGTGTGTAGTGTGTCAGTAAGTGATATTCTGTAAAGGGATGTGTGTAGTGTGTCAGTAAGTGATATTCTGTAAAGGGATGTGTGTAGTGTGTCAGTAAGTGATATTCTGTAAAAGGTGAGTAAGTGATATTCTGTGTAGTGTGTCAGTAAGTGATATTCTGTAAAGGGATGTGTGTAGTGTGTCAGTAAGTGATATTCTGTAAAGGGATGGTGTAGTGTGTCAGTAAGTGATATTCTGTAAAGGGATGTGTGTAGTGTGTCAGTAAGTGATATTCTGTAAAGGGATGGTGTAATGTGTCAGTAAGTGATATTCTGTAAAGGGATTGGTGTCAGTAAGTGATATTCTGTAAAGGGATGTGTGTAGTGTGTCAGTAAGTGATATTCTGTAAAGGGATGGTGTAGTGTGTCAGTAAGTGATATTCTGTAAAGGGATGGTGTAGTGTGTCAGTAAGTGATATTCTGTAAAGGGATGTGTGTAGTGTGTCAGTAAGTGATATTCTGTAAAGGGATGGTGTAGTGTGTCAGTAAGTGATATTCTGTAAAGGGATGTGTGTAGGGTGTCAGTAAGTGATATTCTGTAAAGGGATGGGTGTCAGTAAGTGATATTCTGTAAAGGGATGTGTGTAGTGTGTCAGTAAGTGATATTCTGTAAAGGGATGTGTGTAGTGTGTCAGTAAGTGATATTCTGTAAAGGGATGTGTGTAGTGTGTCAGTAAGTGATATTCTGTAAAGGGATGGGTGTCAGTAAGTGATATTCTGTAAAGGGATGTGTGTAGGGTGTCAGTAAGTGATATTCTGTAAAGGGATGGGTGTCAGTAAGTGATATTCTGTAAAGGGATGGGTGTCAGTAAGTGATATTCTGTAAAGGGATGTGTGTAGTGTGTCAGTAAGTGATATTCTGTAAAGGGATGTGTGTAGTGTGTCAGTAAGTGATATTCTGTAAAGGGATGTGTGTAGTGTGTCAGTAAGTAATATTTTGTAAATTAATTTGATTGGTAAACGAAGGTGTTAATCAAGCTCCGCACTGGTTCAGTAATTTTTAATGTTTTTCTCCAGGAGAATAAAACGCTGGAGACCCTCAATATCGCCTGGAATGGATTCTCTAACGCTGGCTGTAAGGTTATTAGCGGTAGCCTAGAAGTCAACACCAAACTGCATACACTTAACCTTAGTAACAACCGCATAGGATACGATGGTGCCAAAGCGGCACCTGGTCCGAAGGGCCAAGTAAGTTTATGCCATGTGTGGCGTCCGTCTATCCTTCTGTCCAATTTAACCCATTTCCTTTTAACGATTTCTACTCAGTAACCAAGATTCCAAGAAACATCATATTTGACTTGTGGTGTCCTGGGATAACAGTAGGCAAAGTTTGCGGAAAGAAAATGTTTTGACCCATATTCAACTTTACAGTGCTCATATTCGTTAAAATAGTCAAATGACAGAGGCCTAGAATCATATGAAGCTGTTAAATGATACAGCTCAATACACTTTTTTGGATGGAAAGGTTATTGGAATAAAGCCTAACAAAGTTTGCTAAATATCAAACTCAAACGTCTTTTGAATAGCCCAGAATCATGATAATTACCCGGTAGGAGCGAGGTGATAAAGCTTGACCATGCTTACGTATGGAAGGGGTCTGACCAGAAAACTATTGGTTAGTCGGAAGATTCATGATATTCAGCCCTGAGTGCTCGATTAAATTTTAGGATGGCTTAAATTACTAGGATTGTAAGACGAGATCCAGATGTATTTGTGTACAGCAATGATTACTAGGTGAGCTATGCAGGCATTTGTTTTTTTTTTTTTTTTTTTCATGAATCCATTGTATAATCAACTGGCCCTTCTATTCCTACAGCTCAACTTGAACTCGCTGTCAACACTGGGTGCGTTCGAGTTATTGATGGCCATTAGAGACAATCCAGGGAGTGCAATTGAAAAACTAGAATTACAGGTAGCTTTTTAAAAATCTAAATCATACTAATCTCCTACATACTCATCGTCTGTATCATTCTTCATATCTTCTCAGTCATTCTGTTTATTCTCATCTGATTAAACGTGTATCGTTTGTAATGCATAATGAAACGAAAGTTGATGCTAGTATAAGATCAATATGATGAAAGTTATTTGTAAAAACAGCTGAAATCATGATAATGCTTGATTACAGGAGGTTCCGGTGCTGGCGTCCGCTCAGATTATAGAGCAGGAAATCAAGTCTGTCCGTCCGTCCTTTATCCTCATCCATGACGTCGTTGTGCTCTCGGACGATCACCTCGCTCTCTCCAGCGTCATTAACAAACGGAAGGTCACCAGTAGTTGACACAGGATAGTCGTCAGCTGGATTTAATGTCGTGAGCTAGCGTGTCCACACGACCTAAAGGCTATTTAGTGTTGTAAAATCACACTTCCTACAGAATGGACCGCCATACCATGGACGTTAATGGGCACAGACATTATTATGTCATAATCGAGTGATGTCCTCGGAGATGTCACACCACATACATGTTAATAAATATAAACTTTATTTATTTTACAACAATTGCAAAACAAGTTATGTCAATTTATACTAATCACTCTTGTTGGCCCGGATGTAGGCGGGCGAGGGGTCTTATTGTCGGAGGAAACCGGAGTACCCGGGGAAAACCCACGTGGTCGGGCAGGTGACCCCTTACCTTTTCACGTCCGTGATGGGAATCGCACCCCGGTCGGCTAGGTGAAAGGCGAGTGCGTTACCACTGCGCCACCCGACCACATATATGTTATTACGTGTGATGTCGTAATATTGACCGTGACATGGAATTGTTATGGGGTAACCAACTCACGAACTGTGTCGGATTATTGCAAAATTAAACAAAACTGAGGTTACCTCCCCTGATTAAAAGATGACAATGGATAACGATAAATATTTCTGAACATTACAACTGACAACTTAATAAACTTGTCATTACATACATGTAATGCCATATGACTGTTTTACCTGTATTGTCCTAAACTTTTCATAATGTTTAATGTTATAACTTGTGATTCCCTAAACCTGTCATTACGTATTATGTCACTTATCAGTATTTTATTGCTAGGCTTCTGGCTTACTAGTCTGATGCTCAACCGAGCGAGTTAAAGAGAGGTTTTCCCTAGCCGAGCGGTATACTGCGGCTAGTATTTACCAGAGTAACATACTGGTAACCTTAACTTGTCATAAAGTGTGATGTTATATAACAGAGACGGCGATTTGTATTTCTATTATTTATTTGTTATGTTAGGATTTTATTGAATTACGTCACCAAGTATTTCTTTACTTGTCCGTTTTTGAGCTTTACTAGCAGTATTTCACTAAAGGTCATATCATTACGCCCCTACTATTGTCGTAATCTGAACACACGTTAGTACAGAACAGTTTAAGTCATTCTTGGGACAGCTTTTTTTTATTGTGGTGAAAACATTTCACTCAAACTCATGATTGTTATATAATTATCTTTTCTCCCTCTCTCTGGTTAGTTTATTCTAAAAAGTGATTACAAGCACGTGTTCTGTAACCTCTGAGATGTTATAATCTGGCATAACCTGTCAATATATGACTATTTTACGTTTAATGTCCTACACATATCAGTGTTTAGTGTCAACAACTTGTTTTGCCTGTGATGTCCAGAACTTGTTTCATATATCTGTTTTGCCTGTGATGTCTTACACTTGTTTCATATATCTGTTTTGCCTGTGATGTCTTACACTTGTTTCATATATCTGTTTTGCCTGTGATGTCTTACACTTGTTTCAAATATCTGTTTTTGTCTGTGATGTCTTACACTTGTTTCAGATATCTGTTTTGCCTGTGATGTCTTACACTTGTTTCAGATATTTTCTGTTTTTGTCTGTGATGTCCAGAACTTGTTTCAGATATCTGTTTTGCCTATGATGTCTTACACTTGTTTCAGATATCTGTTTTTGTCTGTGATGTCTTACACTTGTTTCAGATATCTGTTTTGCCTGTGATGTCCAGAACTTGTTTCATTATCTGTTTTGCCTGTGATGTCTTACACTTGTTTCATATATCTGTTTTGTCTGTGATGTCTTACACTTGTTTCAGATATCTGTTTTGCCTGTGATGTCTTACACTTGTTTCAGATATCTGTTTTGCCTGTGATGTCTTACACTTGTTTCATATATCTGTTTTGTCTGTGATGTCTTACACTTGTTTCATATATCTGTTTTGTCTGTGATGTCTTACACTTGTTTCATATATCTGTTTTGCCTGTGATGTCTTACACTTGTTTCAGATATCTGTTTTGCCTGTGATGTCCAGAACTTGTTTCATTATCTGTTTTGCCTGTGATGTCTTACACTTGTTTCATATATCTGTTTTGTCTTACACTTGTTTCAGATATCTGTTTTTGTCTGTGATGTCTTACACTTGTTTCATATATCTGTTTTCTGTGATGTCTTACACTTGTTTCATATATCTGTTTTGCCTGTTGTTTCAGATATCTGTTTTGCCTGTGATGTCAGATATCTGTTTTTGTCTGTGATGTCTTACACTTGTTTCAGATATCTGTTTTTGTCTGTGATGTCTTACACTTGTTTCAGATATCTGTTTTTGTCTGTGATGTCTTACACTTGTTTCAGATATCTGTTTTTGTCTGTGATGTCTTACACTTGTTTCAGATATCTGTTTTTGTCTGTGATGTCTAACACTTGTTTCATATATCTGTTTTGCCTATGATGTCTTACACTTGTTTCAGATATCTGTTTTGCCTATGATGTCTTACACTTGTTTCAGATATCTGTTTTTGTCTGTGATGTCTTACGCTTGTTGCATATATCTGTTTTGCCTGTGACTTCCTGAACTTTTTTGATATATCTGTTTTTACCTATGATGTCCTGAATTTGTCAAAAACTTTGATGCCACTGTTAATAATCTCAATCGTAATGTCAATAAAGTAACTTGTGTTTTCTATAAATAAACAGCATATTTTTTATATGGTGTAGTGTTTCCTTATATCTAAACAGTGAAGAGTTTGGAGAAATATTAACATGTATCGCTCACGCTATAAAATTATAATACACGGAAGTACATCCACTGTAACTTTTAAGTCGGCTATGGGCAAAATTACTACAACAGCGCGTTGTTTATCAGTAATACACCGATGGAAAATGAAAAAATAATTTGCTAAGGGGAGTAACTCTTGCAGTCTTGTACAGAAATATAATTTCTCTTCAAAACATTGACCTATTAAGATTTTGTTTTTATCTTTTAATGCCAAACTCTACTATGCTATTCAACAGCATTAAATAGTGTCTATTAAATAGTTTCCCATTTCATACCGGAACGCTACATTTAACTCTTTCCTCGCCAATCTGTCTATTTTTGATAATTAAATTTTATACCTTGCTCTCTCCTCCCTTATCTATTTACTATTTACAAAATTATATATCTTATTCTTTCCACACCAAACTGTATCTTTGCTCACACAGTAAGATATCTTACTGTGTCCTTCCCTATCTCTCTATCTTTGTTTACACATATGTATATCTGTTTCCTCGTCTCTCTATCTTTGTTTACACTTATGTATATCTGTTTCCTCGTCTCTCTATCTTTGTTTAAACATTTGGATATCTGTTTCCTCGTCTGTCTCTTTATCCTTGTTTACACATTTGGATATCTGTTTCCTCGCCTTTCTCTCTATCCTTGTTTACGCATTTGGTTATCTGTTTCTTTGCCTGTCTCTCTATCTTTGCGGACACAGTTAGTTTCCCGTATAATGATTTTTGTTATCACTTATGTGATTATTTTATACTTGTGATTTCCAATGCCCATTTTGTAAGGTTTCTTTTGGCAACAACATTACTCCTTTTTCTTCTCTCTGTGCTATAGATACAAAACAATATAGATCAATATGCTGCATATCTATATAAATTCTTTGCAACATTCTGTAGGAGGAAAGTAAGTGGATTATAAACTACTGTAACCATATCGCTGGAGGCGGTGAAGCAGATCCGGAAAAGAATAATGACACTGACTCTCATCATACTGTGCTAAATGGGTCACAAATATATAAGTGTGTAACCTAAGGCCACAAATACATATGTGTGTCTCTGTATTGTAGCTACAATATGGCCGACCTGGACACAGTGACAGGAGCACACATATCGGGTAATGTATTGTCACAGGTTGCCTTCGCCATGGTTTCATGAAACTGTCGCAGCATCTGACAACCATGTCCTTGAGGTTGAACACCGTCATGTATTAATAGATATGGTTACATGGTCGCTGGCGAGGTCTGCCGTAAACAGTAAGGCTGTTATCGTGAATTTCGAAATGTTGAAATTTTTTCAGAGTTGTTGATTTGTAACCTCTTCTGAACACATTTTCAGGGTATGTGTGTTGTATTATATCGATGACTACAACCCAATATCATTATCATAATTAGCTGTATCGACCGTTACGTATTCTGCTGTTTATGAGTAAACTGACCCTAACCTGTCTAATATCATTGTAACACGACTAGATAGCCTACCAACCTTAGTGACCATACAAAACAGGAAAATGTACGTTTAGGCTCTACCAGGGGCCCAAAATACATAATATAATCTATATTTTATGTCGCTGGCTATACAAAAATTGCTAATATGGGAGATGTGTATAAGTGAGTTAACATCACTCACTGTCTCCCACCGTAAGGTATATGTATATCCACATGTGTCCTCACACACATACACGGACACATTGATGTTTTCAATTTCTCTCTCCATGTGTCTACGTAATCACACGCAACCTCTTTCAAAATGTAAATCCTTTTACTTAATAACCTCTCGACTTCCTCTCATAAACACATTCGATCAACTACTGCCTATCCTCTTCCCAGCCACCTTCCCAGTGTGCCTACCTTCTAGCCATCTTCCCAATATGCCCTCCTTCTAGCTCCCTTCCCAATGTGCCCTCCTTCTAGCCACCTTCCCAATGTGCCCTCCTTCTAGCCATCTTCCCAATGTGCCCTCCTTCTAGCTCCCTTCCCAATGTGCCCTCCTTCTAGCCACCTTCCCAATGTGCCCTCCTTCTAGCCATCTTCCCAATGTGCCCTCCTTCCAGCCCCCTTCCCAATGTGCCCTCCTTCCAGCCCCCTTCCCAATGTGCCCTCCTTCTAGCCACCTTCCCAATGTGTCCTTCTTTTAGCCACCTTCCCAATGTGCCCTCCTTCTAGCCATCTTCCCAATGTGCCCTCCTTCCAGCCCCCTTCCCAATGTGCCTTCCTTCCAGCCCCCTTCCCAATGTGCCCTCCTTCCAGCCCCCTTCCCAATGTGCCCTCCTTCTAGCCACCTTCCCAATGTCCCCTTCTTTTAGCCACCTTCCCAATGTGCCCTCCTTCTAGCCACCTTCCCAATGCCCCCTTCTTCTAGCCGCCCTCTCATTCTTCCCTAAATATATAGAACTTCCCAGTATCCACTCTTCACAGCCGCCGTCTTTCCAGTCTTCCCTCACCCAATCCACATTCACATTCTTCAATCATGCCCGCCAACGTCCCAGTCTTACCTCATCCAAGCAACCTTCTCAGTCTTCCCTATTCCACGCCTCTCAGTCTCCCCTCATTCAAGCCACCTTACTAATCCACCCTCATCCCAGTCTTGCTTCATCTCAGCCCCCTGCCAGCCTCCCGTCATCCTACCCACGTTCCCCGTCTTGCCTCATTCCAGCCACCCTCTCAGCCCCCCCCCCCCCCAAGAGACCTTCCAAGTCTTCCCTCATCTCAACCAACTTCTCTTTCTTCCCTCATGCGGCCATCCTCCATGCCTTACTTCACACAAAGCCACCTTCCCAGTCTTCCCTCATACCAGCCACCTTTCCAGCATGCTGTAATCCAAGTCACCTTCCAAGCCTTTCCTCATCCCCGCCACGTGCCATTCCTCCCTCATCTTGGCCATTTTTCCAGTCCTCCATCAATCCATCCACTTTTCCATTCCTCCCTCATCTCGGCCATTTTTCCAGTCCTTCCTCAATCCATCCACTTTTCCATTCCTCCCTCATCTCGGCCATTTTTCCAGTCCTTCCTCAATCCATCCACTTTTCCATTCCTCCCTCATCTTGGCCATTTTTCCAGTCCTCCCTCAATCCATCCACTTTTCCATTCCTCCCTCATCTCGGCCATTTTTCCAGTCCTTCCTCAATCCATCCACTTTTCCATTCCTCCCTCATCTCGGCCATTTTTCCAGTCCTTCCTCAATCCATCCACTTTTCCATTCCTCCCTCATCTCGGCCATTTTTCCAGTCCTTCCTCAATCCATCCACTTTTCCATTCCTCCCTCATCTTGGCCATTTTTCCAGTCCTCCCTCAATCCATCCACTCTTCCATTCCTCCCTCATCTCGGCCATTTTTTCAGTCCTCGCTCAACCCATCTACTTTCCCATTCTGTCCTCATCTAAACACTTTTCCAGTCTCCCCCTTCCAAGCAAGCTTCCAAGTATCTCCTCATTCCCTCCATATTCCTAATTTTCCACCGTCTTCTCGGCCTCGATCTCTACAAGAGCAAATTCTTTATTCAAAGTCTACCTGTCAACATCCGAAAATAGATATATATTAACTCCAACGCCCAAATTCAAAAATAAATCTACCTCTCAGAAGTATTCCTTGTTGTAAATCATTCATCTGTATTTTGTAGGCGGGAGTGATGTGATCAAGAAAGTGTTTTCAAGGTAAGTAATTGGGTCGAAGCTTGTCAGAAACCCATTCTGTTCTAGAGGGTCATAATGTCACGAGTTGTAGAAAACAATGTTTAAACAATGTTGAAAAGGTCCTATGTTACATGTTAGGGGGGTTAGGGGTTTTGTGTTTACAGCCGTTTACGATTATATAGATTCAAAATAAGATTTTATCTCGCGTGGTTATAGTCACTCATTGTAATGCCTTATTTGTAATAAGTCTTCAGTCACGTGATTATATTAATTCAGAACAAAACAATATACGACTCAATTTTAACTTCTTATAGTCACCAAATAGTCTACTATATTATACTTACAAGTCAATATTAACGAGGTTATATAAACTCAATGTTATACTTACAAGTCAATATTAACGAGGTTATATAAACTCAATGTTATACTTACATGTCAATATTAACGAGGTTATATTAACTCAATGTTATACTTACAGGTCAATATGAACGAGGTTATATTAACTCAATGTTATACTTACAGGTCAATATTAACGAGGTTATATAAACTCAATGTTATACTTACAGGTCAATATTAACGAGGTTATATAAACTCAATGTTATACTTACAGGTCAATATTAACGAGGTTATATAAACTCAATGTTATACTTACAAGTCAATATTAACGAGGTTATATTAACTCAATGTTATACTTACAAGTCAATATTAACGAGGTTATATAAACTCAATGTTATACTTACAGGTCAATATTAACTCAATGCTATACTTACAAGTCAACATTAACGAGGTTATATTCACTCAATGTTATACTTACAGGTCAATATTAACTCAATGCTATACTTACAAGTCAACATTAACGAGGTTATATAAACTCAATGTTATACTTACAGGTCAATATTAACGAGGTTATATTCACTCAATGTTATACTTACAAGTCAAATTATTAACTTATCTCGTCTTTTTTGTGTCATTACCGAACAGATTCCAACTTGAACCTGGCCAGTCCCCGGAACATGTTCGTAGTAATCAGTCTTTCAACACCGCGTATGACTTCTCTCATCCACGGAGAGGAATGGCTATTGTCATATCTAATGGGAAATTCCAATCAAATGAACCCAGAACTTACACAAATGTAGAAATCTCCAATATGCGGACGATGTTCGAGAAACTTGGCTTTGAAGTGCTGACGTTTCAAGACCTGAGCAAAAGGCAAATGGTTTCAGTTCTGGAACATGGTTAGTAACAAAAATATCTGTTTTTTCGCTTGACAATGTTCGTTGTTCTCCCCTCGTATATGTCTTTCCGCGTCTGATTCTAGATGAGTTCTCCGTGGAAGAAATAGGGATCTTTCATTACACAGTGTACTGATTTAGAATCAGATGCGGTATAGCCAAACAATACAGTTAACTGCATAACAGTTTCAACATCCTTGATTGATGGGAACAATCCATGATGGGGAGAGGCATTATCCCAAAATTTTGGTAATTTCATCATGTGTAAACATGAACAGCTAGGATAATTTTGAAGTCGCAGATGGTCTGCTGTATACAGTTCCGAGTAATTGGGGCAAAGGGTTGCTCCTGGACACACAACTACAAACCGGTCTGTTTCTCTAACATCCTGAGACACACAAACCACCTCTTGCAGGCAGAATACGGGAAACCTGAATTCTAAAGATTCTTAGTTGTAATTAATGAGAACCCCGGATAGATTTCTGACCCATCTGGATTTTCGATGGTCATTTAAAAAAAAATGTTTAAATGCGTTTGCCTTTTGTAGTAATAAGTGACAAGCATTAATTGAAGTTTAGGACTAACATTACTAAATCATTACGATATGTCATTAATCGGCATTTAGCTCAACATAAGTGACATTTGTCTAGATTCATTGAAATATATCTGGCAAAGGTTTCAAAAGTATTCATTTTGTGGGTTAAATGTCATTTCGGAATAGCACTAGTTTACAAGTGAAATTAATAACCCACTTCGGGACGTTTCACACCTGTCTTAATCAAAGATATTTAAATTTGCTAAAACCATACATTTTCATAACACCGAATATTTACAGATTTCTTTTATAGGAAAATGTTTATGTAATCTACATTTCGATTGGATATGAATTTGTATGAAACAGTAGCTCATCGACTAAAATTTGTTGGATGAGTTCATTTATATAGAGCTGAACTAGTGATCATTTCAGCGTAATTGTCATTTGCTATACGGCACGTCATTTGTATAAGTAAATATATTTACAAGACTTTATTTGGATTTGTATTAATACGTCGTTTATCTACAGTAATGTTTAGAACATACGAGCAGGAGAATACTTACACTGTCTTAACTGATTACTCTGTCATGTATGATTTAACGCTCTTCAACACAAAATGTCCACAGCTGCTAAACTGCTGAATTACCATCTCCAGTCTGACTGCTTCGCTTGTGTTATCGGTTCTCACGGAGCAGAAATACCAGCACATTCTGACGACAAATCAGCTCACCTTAATAGGAAACATGTCATTTTCGGAACTGACAAACACGTGGATACAAATAGCCTCACAGATTTGTTCAGCGATGACAAGTGTCCCGGACTTCGTCACAAACCAAAACTCTTCTTTATTCAAGTATGTTCATATGCTATTCTTCGTCGATTTCCGTCTTGAAAACATTTGCCTTCAGAATTAACTCAAGTTACACCTTGATTCGCATTAAATATGACGGCGATACAGAGTTAATATCTAGTGGTCGTTATAATTTATACGTTTAATTCTTAACACTAAACTTTTTATGCTTTTGGCGCCATTTATTGTTGTTGTCGTTTGTTGTTGATTCATATTCAGTAAAAGTAACCAAGTTGTTGATGGTGATTATCAATGCTTTTTCAGGCATGCAGAAAGGATTCTAGTACATCTCCTACATCCGGATTAGATTTAGGAACTGACGTTGACATCACTTCCGGCCAACACCCTTCACCTACCCACGTCCCTAAATTTGCATTTTGTGAATCACGGCGAAGGAAACCTGATACTGTTTCACGTCAAGGATCATCAGAGAAAAACAGTACAGTAAACGACGAACACTTAAACATGGCCGCTGATAATAGTTGGCATAATAACTTTCTCCAGAATGAAATATTGCCACTTAATGTCGAAATAAACCCAAAATCACCAAAACACAATGAAATGCTGGAGAAATCAGTGGGCGAAATGAACCTGGAGCCAACAAGAGACAATGAAAGGAATAGTGAACCCTGTGTTGACCCGCTGCTTCAGAAGACGACTGACGAAGCAGAGCATCAGAAGCGTGTATCGAAATTCAGTTTGTCCAAGTTCTTCAAGTGTATTGATGAGCAGCTGTCGCCAATTTGCAGATCAAATTTTATGATCATGTATTCAAGTGTAGAAGGTATTTTTTTTTACAGCTGGGTACCAGCCTCGGTCCAGATCTGTACCTGGCGTTTTTCTTATATTGTTCAATCGGTCCAGCCGTTTCAACTGGTTACGCGTAAACGATTTAACACTTAATAATGTCGGATTTCTTAAACTTTGGAACATTTCTGGTCGTATTATAGAAAATAGGCGTATATCGTTTACCTTGTCGTGCTATAGAAAATCATTGGACCCCGTGTAACTCGTATTATAGAAAAATCAGTGAATCCATTGAAAGTATTCGTGGTGCAGAAAGTCAATGCATCCCGTGTAACGGTCCTGTTATAGAAAATCAATTTATCCCGTTTAAACAGTAGTGCTATAGAAAATCACAATATCCCGTGTAACTGGTCGTGTAATCGAAAATCAGTGTATTCCGTGTACCTGGTCGTCATATATTAATTTAGTGTATCCCGTGTAACTTGTCGTGTTAAAGAAAATCGGTGTATTCCATGTGCCTGGTCGTGTTATAAAAAAATCAGTGTTTCCCGTGTAACTGGTCATGTTATAGAAAATCATCGTATGTCGTGTAAGTTGACGCGTTATAGAAAATCAGTGTACGCTGTGTTACTGGTAGTGTTATTGAAAAACATGGTATCAACAATAACTTGTCGTGTAAATAGCGTTATAGATAACCAGCATACTCCGTGTAACTAGTCGTGTTATAGATAGCCAGCGTACTCTGTGTAACTAGTCGTGTTATAGATAACCAACATACTCCGTGTAACTAGTCGTGTTATAGATAACCAGCATACTCCGTGTAACTAGTCGTGTTATAGATAACCAGCATACTCCGTGTAACTAGTCGTGTTATAGATAACAGCATAGCAAACTAGTCGTGTTATAGATAACCAGCATACTCCGTGTAACTAGTCGTGTTATAGATAACCAGCATACTCCGTGTAACTAGTCGTGTTATAGATAACCAGCATACTCCGTGTAACTAGTCGTGTTATAGATAACCAGCGTACTCTGTGTAACTTGTCGTGTTATAGATAACCAGCATACTCCGTGTAATTAGTCGTGTTATAGATAACCAGCGTACTCCGTGTAACTAGTCGTGTTATAGATAACCAGCATACTCCGTGTAATTAGTCGTGTTATAGATAGCCAGCATACTCCGTGTAATTAGTCGTGTAATAGATAACTGGTGTACACTGTGTTACGGAAACTATAACTTGCCGTGTTATAAAATAGAATTTATTAAGTGTGATTGGTTGTGTTATAGAATATTAGAACATCCAATCTAACTGGTCATATAGGAATTTTTTGTTATATGTTATTTATTTTCTGAAAATTCTCGAATAAGACATAAAAACAAGGTTAACTTAAATGGTCATCATATTAATTTCTTTTCCTTAATTACAGGTATGTATTCATTTGGTAGATCAAAGGAAGGCAGTGTTCCCTCAGAACGTAACCCAGTAGTGGGAGGTTTTCTGCTGCATTCTCTCTATACACTGATAGTACGGGAAAATTTGTTTTTCCTTCAAACAACGCCAGCCGGACTGAACATGTTAGATGTCTTTACGCGGGTTAATGACTTTGGTTCAAAGAACATTCTCGCAACGGTAGAACTACAGGTAGGCGAGAACGAAGAAGACAAGCAGACGTTTCACGCGAAGTCGGTATTTACTTTAGAGCATCGACTCACGGACGACGTCATATTCAAATGCAAAAATGCAGAATAACAGTTGGACAGTTTTACGCGGCGTCTTAACTGTTGGAACTGTCGACCTTGAATGTTTGGAAAGTAGAACGAGGCACCTTGAATGTTTGGACTGTAGGCCTAAGCGCATTGACCACAGGGACTGTAAAATGAGGCACCATGACGGTTTCAACTGAAACGAAGCGCCTTGATTTGGGATTATGAGGCACCTGTTATCTGTTATCACCTCTGCACTTCTACCCGTGATGCATTTCCGCCCAACACCTGTGCCTAACTATTAACTGATCAAAGGTGCAAAATGGCCGAAAGGCGGCCATATTAGATTTTGACTTTGAAAGGTTGTTATCGCTATTTCTCGAGAACTATAGCATAGATCTTTCTCAGATGTCATGTGTAAGTTTTCCTTGATCTCTAGTTGTGCCTGTCTGATTCTGGTACTGATCAGAAAAAAACAAAATGGCCCACCAGCGGCCATCCTGGATTTTGACATCGAAAATTTGTTCTTGAGAAGTTCTAATAGATCTTTCTCAAATTTCATGTATAGGCTCCTCATGGTCCCTGGTAGTGCCTGTTTCAGTTTGGAACTGATCAGAAAAACAAAATGGCCGACACGTAGTCATCTTGTATTTCTCCTAGTAAATATTGTAATCCCTAAGAAGTACCGAATGGATATATATAAAATTCCATACGAATGATCCCATTTGTGTCTCCTTTCACCAGTTTGATTTTGAAATTAATCAGAAGAAACAATGGCTTTGAGGCGGCCATTTTGGATTTGGGAGGTGATCGCGATTTCTGCATAGGAATGTTCAAATGTCTTACCATCACGAGCAAAAACAGAGAAGAGAGGAGAAAAGAAGGGAAATTATCAAACTTTCAATTATCAAATAAAGATCAAACAATAGTGGGCGCCAAGATCTCTCTGGGATATCTTGTTAGTGTAAGCTGACAGTTTGATGAGATGCACGTATTAACCTTGGAGGGAGGATTTTATATAGGAAAATTCAAATCTTCAGTGTAATTTCTTTTAATTCAAACTTGATTAGAGCAGTTAATGTACGAACAGTTTGCATTATATATATAATTGAAAAAAATCAAATCAACACGACAAATGTATTCCGCTAACGTTTTCAGGCCTAACGGCCATCTTCGGGCGATACATTTATTATAATGTCTAAGTAACGACATTATGACGTCATACACAATACATAATAGAATAAGGGGAGATAACGTTATTGTTTTCAGTATATAGAGATAGCATTATGAGCGCTTCGTTATCAATCAAATATCTGTAAAATATTGTTTAAAACATCAGCTTGCATTGAGAATTGGTTTAAATATTTTGACAATCATTTCCTCTTTACCAAGTCTTTTTGTCGTACTTGAATCGGCCATTTTGTAGAAAGGAAAACATTAAAATGTTCCTTTCCTGCATGTATCCAAGTGTTCACTAAGCGGTATTTTCCTTGTCTTGCTGTTTTTGGACCCGAACTCTCTCACTAAGTGCATTTCCTGTTTGGCGGATGTAGTGCTCCTTGCAGACAGACTATTACATATATAAAATTCTTACTTTTTCAGTTTTGATTATTATTATTATTATATAAACTTTATTTGTTTTTACAACAATTGCGAAACAAGTTATTTAAACTTATACTAATCACTCTTGTTGGCCCGGATGTAAGCGCGCGAGGGGCCTTATTGTGGGAGGAAACCGGAGTACCCGGGGAAAACCCATTATTATTATTATTATTATTATATATATATGTATCCGTATAATTTTGCATTTAGACATGTCGTTTCGTCTTGACATTATGTATTTTGTCAAACTTTATGTGGAAAAGGCTTAATATAAGCTGGAAACTTGTCCCCAATCCCATTGAAATTATCCGATAAAATATGTTTAAAACAATATGTCGACGTCCGGAGGAAACTAACCCAAACAAGAGCTAGGCTAGTTGGTCGTCTGCACAATGTATGCAGCATTGTTCTTATTACCCCAAGAAACGTTAACTTGATGAGGAGGAAACACATCCTAACCCTGTTATACGGAGGTTGAGTTGTGCCATTTCGTTATTTCGTCTTTTCGCTGATCGAGAATTGAAATCAAAATTTTCGTTCAAACCATGACAAACCTTAATTCACGTCTTTTCGCCCCTAAAATGCGAAAAGACGACAAATCATACGCGAAAAGACGAAATAAATGCACGTTGATAAGCGACCTTAATTTTAGTATTTTCGGTTTTAAAGGTGTCGTCTTTTCATCATTAAACTGTAACCCTCTGTATTTTTGTGTTACGTCCCTGTTGTAACTCTCTGTATTTTGGTGTTACGTCCCTGTTGTAACCCTCTGTATTTTGGTGTTACGTCCCTGTTGTAACTCTCTGTATTTTTGTGTTACGTCCCTGTTGTAACTCTCTGTATTTTGGTGTTACGTCCCTGTTGTAACTCTCTGTATTTTGGTGTTACGTCCCTGTTGTAACCCTCTGTATTTTGGTGTTACGTCCCTGCTGTAACTCTCTGTATTTTGGTGTTACGTCCCTGTTGTAACTCTCTGTATTTTGGTGTTACGTCCCTGTTGTAACTCTCTGTATTTTGGTGTTACGTCCCTGTTGTAATTCTCTGTATTTTGGTGTTACGTCCCTGTTGTAACTCTCTGTATTTTGGTGTTACGTCCCTGTTGTAACTCTCTGTATTTTGGTGTTACGTCCCTGTTGTAACTCTCTGTATTTTGGTGTTATGTCCCTGTTGTAACTCTCTGTATTTTGGTGTTACGTCCCTGTTGTAACCCTCTGTATTTTGGTGTTACGTCCCTGTTGTAACTCTCTGTATTTTGGTGTTACGTCCCTGTTGTAACTCTCTGTATTTTGGTGTTACGTCCCTGTTGTAACTCTCTGTATTTTGGTGTTACGTCCCTGTTGTAACCCTCTGTATTTTGGTGTTACGTCCCTGTTGTAACCCTCTGTATTTTGGTGTTACGTCCCTGTTGTAACTCTCTGTATTTTGGTGTTACGTCCCTGTTGTACTTCTCTGTATTTTGGTGTTACGTCTCTGTTGTAACTCTCTGTATTTTGGTGTTACGTCCCTGTTGTACTTCTCTGTATTTTGGTGTTACGTCTCTGTTGTAACTCTCTGTATTTTGGTGTTACGTCCCTGTTGTAACTCTCTGTATTTTGGTGGTACGTCCCTGTTGTAACTCTCGGTATTTTGGTGTTACGTCCCTGTTGTAACTCTCTGTATTTTGGTGTTACGTCCCTGTTGTAACTCTCTGTATTTTGGTGTTACGTCCCTGTTGTAACTCTCTGTATTTTGGTGTTACGTCCCTGTTGTAACTCTCTGTAACTCTCTGTATTTTGGTGTTACGTCCCTGTTGTAATTCTCTGTATTTTGGTGTTACGTCCCTGTTGTAATTCTCTGTATTTTGGTGTTACGTCCCTGTTGTAACCCTCTGTATTTTGGTGTTACGTCCCTGTTGTACTTCTCTGTATTTTGGTTTTACGTCTCTGTTGTAACTCTCTGTATTTTGGTTTTACGTCTCTGTTGTAACTCTCTGTATTTTGGTGTTACGTCCCTATTGTAACTCTCTGTATTTTGGTGTTACGTCCCTGTTGTAACCCTCTGTATTTTGGTGTTACGTCCCTGTTGTAACCCTCGGTATTTTTGTGTTACGTCCCTGTTGTATATCTTGGTATTTTGGTGTTACGTCCCTGTTGTAATTCTCTGTATTTTGGTGTTACGTCCCTGTTGTAATTCTCTGTATTTTTGTGTTACGTCCCTGTTGTAATTCTCTGTATTTTGGTGTTACGTCCCTGTTGTAATTCTCTGTATTTTGGTGTTACGTCCCTGTTGTAATTCTCTGTATTTTTGTGTTACGTCCCTGTTGTAATTCTCTGTATTTTTGTGTGACGTCCCTGTTGAAATTCTCTGTATTTTTGTGTTACGTCCCTGTTGTAACTCTCTGTATTTTTGTGTTACGTCCCTGTTGTAACTCTCGGTATTTCGGTGTTTATTTGAATTACCGACCTGATGTAAGGAATGCAAGATAACGTCAATTTTTCACTATGGTATATAGAAAATACGTCATACGTTGATATAACTCATAGCATGAATAATAAAACAGCACTGGATGTTACAACAGCAAAATTTTACTTTTATATGTGTATACGACCTTTATTTAAGGTCAATAAATATTGAAGTATAGCCAGTTTCAAGAAAACGTATACTTCTTTCTTGTTATTTTGCGCATTTCTTGGTAAGATCACGGAGTGTCAAGCTCATTGACAGTATAGTTGATATTAATGATCAAAAGATCAGAACAAAGATTTAAAAGTGATATGAGGGATTTTGCCCTTTATTATGTTTTTGTCTTGGTCTTGGTAGATTGATTCAAATACCTTTAAATGTACTTCATTATGACGTGTTATTTATTTCGAAGCTTTCCTGCATACATTTAATTCTTGATCACCAATGTCAAGGTAGTTATGCCAGTGAACAGGTCTATCCAAATTTGGCTCTCAATTCCTAACTACTCAGTATTAGTTAGTATGACATCTTCATCTATACATCTGTGCACTGGCTTCTATAGTTGGGGCCTGGTACTTTTCATTATCGCATCGCGCCATTTTTGAGAAAGTAATTTAAAAGATTTTCTTACTAAACCCCGGCTGTATACTACGGTGGCTGATTTGTGCCATTTCGTTATTTCGTCTTGTGACTGCGAAAAGACGATAATCAGAAACGTAAATTAACGTTCTTTCGTCTTTTCGCGGCGAAATAACGAAATCGGAAGAGGCAGAAATCAGCCACGGTACCATCTGGTCTCGCAGTTCTGACTAAATAGAAGCTCATATTATACATCAGCTATAAACACTATCCTTTCATCTACACCCATGAATGCTCCAGTTTAATCCAAAACTCTATGTCGCCATGCAGTGGCAGATCAAAAGATTTTGGGTGAGGGAAGATCACATTATTTTCCAACGACTAAACAACCTGATTGATCAATGGATCTACCATTGTACATCGTTGCTAATTTATTCTTTATACACTTTGAGAAATATGTTTTCTTTGTAGGCTTACTTAAATTAATGTCATCGTAATTGCTCATTTTTGCTAACGCTATTGAAAAAATTTAATAAAAAAAATAAATAATTTAAAAAGGTGGAGAATCCGGGTATCGATCCCGGTACCTCTCACATGCTAAGCGAGCGCTCTACCACTTGAGCTAATTCCCCTACAATAAGTCATAGCGACTTTAAATTGACAGTATCGTTCGCCAACCATGCCGAGTAACTGTCTTAATAATTCACTACCAGACAAAGTTCAACGACAATCTATGAAATATTGCACTTCTTTTGTCAACATGTGATTCCTGCTGTGTAGCGATTTTTCGGCTTTTAACCTTAAATTCTGTAATGTCTGTAAACCGGAAGCGTATAACCGATGCTAATGACATTATTTTCTCGTCTCCAACTGACAGGCAGTGTGAATCCTGTTTCTGAAAATGCTTGGTGTGAAAGTCAAAGATCTAGTGACAACAGCTAGTGGCCAGAAAAAAAATAGTCTGTCGAAACTAAGAGAACTTGCGGGTGAATTCTACCGAGTAAGTGTTTAGAGGCATAAGTCTTGGTCCTTTCACAGGGGTTACAATGGCTGATGTATTGCTATTTTTAGTGTAATCCGAATCATTACGGCGTACTATCGACTTACTTTTTTTTTAAATGTCGGTCTCGAGTCGTGAACGACAGAACTCTGGCACTAAGTTAAGTGAGGGAAACAGCGACCCGCGCCTGGGTCGGCATTCAAACGATCATTGTGGAAGAAATGGTCCTTTTCACATGCATATAGCACATGTATCGAAAGGTCTGTTCTTTTTCTACAATATATCCGTTAAATTTTTAGTAGGAAAATGGAACCAGGTTTGTATAATTATTTATTATCAGCCCCAAGGAGTCTGAGGAGCTGAGCCCTTGAAATAAATTAAATTCTTTAAAATCCCTCTCCTATAGGAATGAATGGATATTGCCAATCTTTGGTGTGAAGTATTCTTGGCTAAAAAGAAAGAAAAGCAATCTTGTATAAACTTGAGGTCTCGGTCCCCTTGGGTAGGAAGTGCAGGGCTGAATAAGTGTAAAAGTAAATTGTATAAAATCCTACTCCTGCAGAAAGTGGTGGATATTGTCCAAATTTGGTTTGAAGCCTTCTTCGGTGAAAAGGAATCAAGCTTGGGGCAGAAGGATAGGGGCTCAATAGGATAGACTAAATTCTTTAAATCCTACTTCTGTAGGTTTGATTGAGTACTGCCTGAATGTGGTCTGAAGCATACTTGGGCTGAGATGAATAAAATTTTGTATAAATGATGGGTGTCAGCCTTCTTGTTGGTGAGGAGTGAGACCCAATGGAGGAAATGTAGGAATGAGTGGATATTGCCCAAATTTGGTATTAAGCATTCTTTGGTGAAGGGATTCAATCTTGTGTAAAGATTAAAATTCTACTCCGGAAGGAATGATTGGATTTTGCCCATATAAGAACCCAGGATCTCACATTTTCTCTTGGGGAAGGGGTAAAATTTACTATATTGTAGATATCGCACCAAGAGTACCTCTACAGCCACTACCTCAGTCGGTTCCAGTTATGTCCCAGAGTGCCAAGTCTTATTAAAAATGTCAGAAGGAGGTTATGTAAGGAACAGACCTGTACAGTGTTGAAAGTGAGGACAGACAAGAGACAAAGACACACACAAACAGTTCTAAGGAAACTGGTTTTGTACTTGAACAGCACAAACATTTCTGGAGGAATTTAGGAAGAGGATGCAAGCCAGAGGATATAAAACTAGGAAGGATAAGTGAACTGAGAAGACCATAGTTGAACTGTCTGTGATTTGGCTGATTGTGTATTTTTATGATGAAATATTTTTAATGCTGCCAAGCATAATGCTAGAAGGTCCCAAGCCCTTGTAAAAGCAGAGGGAAAATATTTCATAAATAATAAAAAAAAAAAAAACAAACACAGTTTAGATCTTGTAGTGCTATATACATCTTTGTAGTGAAGTGGTCATCACACTTGTCGCTCTGTGGCGAAAAACCCAGGTTCGACTCCTGGCAGAAATAATGCAGCACATACGATTTATCACGGATTTTCTGGCATGATTGAAGATTTCCTACTTGAAAGACAGTTGATTAATTCAGTGTGAACAGTTTCTGTTTAATATTGTAAATGTATCATTTAAAATCACAATAGATATTGTCAATAACTCAGTTCAGCATCAGGTGTTTTTCAGTATTACTTAAACTCTGTATTTCATTAATGAATACATTATATCTATACTGTTAAGTAGTTGTTGGTGACTCCAGTTTATAAAAAAAATGTCAAATTATTTAAGAATTATTCATATATTCAATAATCGCTATTAAATAATAAAGTAAAGATGCATAATTTTTAAAAAATTAGATTCAATTTCAAATTTTGTAGCAAAAATACGGAAAGAATATGAAAAATCAAGAAAAAATAAATTAAAAGAGAAAACCCCCACGCTTGCAGCAAGCCTCGAACACCCACCCCCTCCTCTTTCTAATGTGCAGGTGTGACGTTACTCGAAGTTCGAACACAAATCCTGAACAATAGCATGGGGTCTTTGTGCAGGGGCCATGCTAATCTTCTTTGTTTCGTCCCAATTTTACACGGCCCCAACCCGATCAAATCAATACTGATTACTATTGTTAATCAAAGTACTGAAAATACTGAGAGGCTAAACGTATTGAAAAATGTTCACAAATAACCGCTAAGCTATATTACTTTCCCCATACTCCTACACTTTGGAATGCAAAATTACTAAAATAAGAGAACCAAAGGCTATTTTTCTTAATTTTAAGCGATTTTATATCTTCTTTAATTCTTATTTCAAATTTGACGACAATAATGTGAATAAATCAAAATAGGTGAAAAAAATAACAAAATACACACAACCATATATTTATCGCCAGCAAGCCAAATGATAAATAGCTCTATGATGAAGTTGACTAAATAAAACCTTAAAATACCCAAGATGTTGCAATTACTATCCTATCAATATGAGGATTTACTACCGATGAAGGGAAGGTGTGAACGTTTCAAGTACTGTATTACTGAACAAAGTATTGATAGTATTGTACTGAAGTACTTCACCAATCGAATTCCTTAAATTTATGCAACAAGCTCTCTGATTGGCAGAGCCAAGTCTAGATCGATTGTGGGTGGAGCCAGGTGAAAAAATACTGTGCAGACATCGGCATTTTACAAACACTCGACTGTCGCGAGAGGTTAATTGGAAGAGTCCAAGTCACAGGTGGCTTCAGATCAGACCTAATTGGGTAGTCCCATTTGTTTCGTTCTACACCCAATGATACCTTGCTTTTCCATCGATGGTACAACGAGAAAACGAAAGTTACTCAGTACTAAACTAATTTACGTACAAAATATATATCAACAGGTTAGATCACTGGGACCGGAGAATTCATAACATCTTAACAGTGAATATAGTCATATAGTCATTCTGTACTAGTTTTATTTATTTATTTTTTTTTTTTTTTTGAAAGGGGGGGGGGGGGGGGGGGGGGGGGGGGGGAGGGTTGGCTCAAAATATTTCGGTTTAAGCCCAAGCTCTATTATATGTAACAAAGAATTACGATTTACCTGGGACCTCCTGATATATGCCGATAATTCATACTGCATTAAAAAGTAAAGGAATTCTGTGGTCCCATATATTTTTTATTTTATTTTTTATCTTTCCATCGAAAATTATACCACGGACTTATATACACTTATAAATATAAGTCCGTGATTATACATATCCGCAACATGTGAAAAAACTTTGAAGTTGGTTGGGCGGAATATCTAGAGCATTTACTACTGCAAGTTCCAGAAATTCTGACACAAGTCGGGTATTTGCCCGAAGCCTCTGTCTCATGACATTGAATACATATTCAGTTACGTTGTATCCCGGGGAATAAGGCGGCTGAAAAACCAGGGACACGCCATATTCTTTCAGCATATTTCTTAAAATGCGCTCTCCCTGTCTATGGTGATGGAATCCACAATTATCCATCACAACCACATCGCCTTGTACAAAAACAGGATTCCCCATATCGTTCGTATCGGACATAATTTCGTCTAAGAAAATTTTGCGTACTGTTGCCGTCGTCGGACATTTTTCCAGCGATTACTTAGTAATTGTTATGTAACTGATAGTGTACATTAACTCCGCCTACCGGAACAAATTGGGTGTCAGATCAACTATTCAGGTTGTCCAAACTCCGCCCCCGACCAATCACAGAGGTCGTTGTATACTTGACTCGATTATTTGAATACTTCAATACAATAGTATCAATACTTTGTTCAATACTATAGTAAGTGTGTCGTTCACACCTTCCCTTCATCGGTAGTAAACAAAGCGAAAGGACTTTATACCTACTTCTTTATTTTGAATGTATTGCAAAGTAAAATAGTCCTTACTTATTATAATCATATTTGTAGTAGAGGAAAGTAGATGAGGTATA